ACGCGCAAAAGATGACGTACAACCAACTAATGATGTAGCATCGTTCATAGAAATAAACAATGTTTTACGACGTTCGTACCATCAAAATTTGTTCAAATTGATTTACCTATATCCGTTTGAATAAATGATCAAAAGGACCCTTAGCATTTACGACTGGATTTCTCCCTCCCTGTGAATTACCTTACCTCTGTCCGGATACAGAGTGGAATAAAATAATATGAAATGGTTTTAACAGCTATAAGCACCCTCCCCAACCCAAACACCTCTTGCTTTTTCATCCGTTCGGGCTACGCAATTCTTAGCATTCGTCACAAGTGGCGCCCCCGGAATACAGCGCCATCTACTGTCGACTCCCAACCTGGCACCCCGAGCGCTCCCTCTCCCCTGACCCACTCTACCTCTCCCAGTGACCCACACACAGAACGAGGTGCGGTGACTCCCGTGTATTGTAGCGCGTCAATGCGGACACATTTACTTGAGAGGGATGAACCGCGAGCTGTGGGTGGCTCCGATACCGGGCCGACCGTGCTTCACGGGCTTGTAGGTGAGCGCGAACTCGCCCAGGTAGTGGCCCATCATCTCCGGCTGCCGAACAGAACACAACGCCAGTTAGCACGATATACGAGGGAGCAGCCACTGCAACATGCGGATTGGTGCAATAGAAGGAAGACTGAAAAGGGGAATGTGACAGAATGCTAGATACTTTCGGTCAAATTTGGAAGGACGCTATTTAAACAATAGCTATCGCAATTCGAAGATATGGCGTTAAAGCCGTTAAATTTACGAAGAGGTTCAACCATAAAATGCTACAGCGGTAAACATTGAATACAGCGGTAAACAATGAAGCTGCAAAAAGCAGCCCAACAACACCGCATCTGCCCGACTCTAGCTCACCTTGATCTCGACACCGGTGAAGCCCTTGCCGTTGTGGACGCCGACGATGCTGCCGGTCATCTCGGGCACGATGATCATGTCGCGCAGGTGGGTCTTGACCGCCTCGGGCTTCTCCATGGCGGGCGCCTCCTTCTTGGCCTTGCGGAGGCGGCGCAGCAGCGCCATGTGCTTCCTCTTGTGTCCGCGCTCGATGCGTCGCCGCTGGCGGGCGTTGAACAGCTGCTTCAGCTGCTCGTCGCCCATGTCCAGCAGCTGGTCAAGGTCCACGCCGCGGTACGTGAACTTCTTGAAGGTACGCCGCTTCTTCACTTCTACGTTCTGCAAAACGACATAATAAAAAGTAAGATGAGTTCTGACACACAAAATTGTGTAGCATGAAACAATGGCAGCAAACATGGCGACCTGTGCCACGGGCTACAGGCCAGGTCGTTGCGCAACGTACCCTTGAGGGCTCTGAGTTCGGTTGGGTCAATGGTGAGCGCGTACCTTAAGTGCAAATTCGCGTCATAGACTTTACAATTTACATGTTAGCGATCAGAGTGTGAAATTGGGCGAAAAGGGCTAAATTTTTTCAGACACCAGTTCCATCCAGATGCAGATCATTACGGAGCGAGCGAAGCGAGCGGAGTCTTTCCTTAGATTAACGGAAATTTCTGAGTATGAGCGGCCGGCCGGCCGTGCGGACGCTTTTGCGAGGCTTATATCTCAGCAACCACTTGACCGATTTACATGCGGTAATCTTTTTAGGGTAGCTTCATTCCTTCTACCAAGTATTTGACTATTCCTGATGCATGTGGGTGAACCCTTGTGCACGTGCCACGTGCAAAACGAAGAGGTGTCACTTTTGTAATTGTTGCAATATCTTGGTAACTACTTGGCCGATTGCGCTGAAACTTGACATGTAGGTAGGCACCCACTAGGCACTGCATATCCATGTGCCAGAGTTGGGGTGCTGCTGCACGTGCGCACGTGCAGTGGTCGTTTCCAGATCTCGAGAACGGCTCGACCGATAGCGCTCAAATTTGGTACACAGTTAGGGACCGGTTAGTAGGGTGCAGTGCACAAGTCAGTTGAGACCCATTTTGCATGTGCGCACGTGCAGGGTGCCGCTTCCAAATCTAGAGAACGGCTGGGCCGATTGTGCCCAAATTTGGCACATCGCTAGAGACCACTTAAGAGGGTGCTGTGCACAAGTCAGTTGGAGGTACCCCCTCGCAATTTCGCACGTGCAAGGCCCACCCTCTCGCTCGCTCCATTAGTCGCCCCAAAAGGCGTTATACTGGTAGTATCTGGGCGCCCAATCAGCACGGGAATACTGCAGCCATCATGTGCAACAGTAATTGCACTCTATGAAAAATTGCCATATTGGACAAATTTGGGAAGTTATGCTGTTCCCAATTGATTGTCAGTTGAAATGAATTGAAACAACGCCTATGGGCAAGAGAAACATACGTACCGCCTCTCATGGAAAAGTTGTAAAAGGATAATTGATTGAAAACAGGGTGATAAGTCTCTGGGTAAAATGGTATTTGAATTGCTGTTAGCACTGTTTTCAGCATCCTGATGTTCAACTGAACAGCAGCAACGTCTCCATTCAAATTCTGCATGTGTCAAGAGACGGCCCAAACCGAAAGATCTGGGAATCCATCTACATTCGAGATCTAAAACCAACTCTGAACACTCAAACCTCCTCCTGGCCCCTGATTCGTACTTGAGTCTGACTGAGTGTCGATTCGACTGGCTAGTTGTGACATCGTGTGTATGTGTTTTTTTTTTTCGAGTGGTATTGTATGTGCGTGTTTTTGTGTTTTTGTTTTGTAAATCTTCTGGTTATGGTAAAATTCGTATTGAATTAGGTAGAACTGTCACTGAATTATGTATTGAATTAGGTAGAACTGTCACTGAATTATGTATTTGTTTAACGCAGGCTTGCCTTGTTCTGGGAAAATGTTTAATCAGGCAGTATTAGTTTCATTGTGAATGTATTTGTACTCTGCAGCCTATGTAAGGAAATATTTTGTAATTTTATCTAACCCTTTAGGTCAAACCCTTTAGGTAATGTATTATATAATTATGTTTTATAATACTCCTATGTAATGTTATGAAACCCTTTAGAGAAGTGCCTGTGCCTAACTGCAGCTGCTATCGATTTGAATTTCAATGTGTTTGCGCCAAAAAGGAAAATAAAGTAGAGCGAGTTGAAGAAGGCGTAAGCCGAAAGCTCCTCGGAATTATCAGGCTTTTTCTTACGATTTTGGATATTAACTATGAGAGTACGGTTACTTTACTTGATTATAAAATGGTATTTGTCAATGATGTGCCACTATGTTAATTACACCGGTTTGGCTGCGTAACCAGAAGCATTTGGCAAAGTATCCTGACAAACGTTAGCATGGCATTTCTTCATCGCGCAATTCCTCGTCCACGCATTTCATCATAAGCGCAAATATTCGTGGCACATTTCTTAGCATCCAAATTCCTATGTCGTCGCATTTCTTCGTCCTCAGTCCTCTCAAACCTTCGTTCATGAATCCTGGTCCACACAAATCTCAAAGAGGTTAGGCAGGGTTAAGAAGGCTGGTTAGTTCAGTATTTTACTTTTCAGATTTCATTTAAGATTTTATTACTCAGATTTCAGGTTATTCAGATTTCATAAAGGCTGGTTAGGTTAGGGGTTATGCTAAGTTAGGTTAGGTACATTTCTGGTACTAAGCAGACTGAAGGTGAAGGAAAAGGACTAAGCTTGGAGGGGTAACAGCTGAAAACCCCTTACTAACAGTTAATGGCAAACAGGCCACCCTAGAAACAAATCCTTTTAAATATTTATTTCACATTTTGTGTGTAGCAGGAAAATAAGCATGACTATTGCGCCCAACTTAGCTAGAACCCGTGCTAGAACTTTAGAGAGATCAATAGCAATGCAAAATATTGGAAATTTGTCAGCCCATATGGCTCATCATTGCGCGATATAGTTCGTGAAAAAGTACAAAAATCAGAAAATTAGATAGGCACTTACGTCCGCCATGGTTGCGATTCTTGAAAGGATGTTTTCAGCCGATCACGTCCAGCGCTGCCGTTTAAGCATACAATTTGTGAATAAATCGGAAAAAGTATTATTACCTTATTCTATAAAAGCAATATTTATGCTTAAAAAATGCAACTTTTAGAATGCGCCTTAAATTTCGACATTCAGCATATTTAAATATATTTATCTTTGGCTTTTTATGTTGTGTCTAAAAATACTGTGGTCGTACTCTAAAATGCTGACTTCTTCCCAAAATGAAATGCTGGAATCAACGGTGTTTTCGTGTTGGCAAGGCTATTCGAGTATGAACATAAGCTTTTATTCATTTTCTTTTTCCAAGTCTTAACCCGGCGGCCGCTGGGCCTCCGCGCCACCCGCCGGCCGCTGGGGGGGGGGGGCATATAGTTGCCCCCCCTTTACTTCTGCGACGATATCGTCGCAACGCGAAGAGATAGAGAGGCGAAACTTTGCACACATCTTCCTGAATACCTAGCCGAGGTTGTGTCCGAATTTGGTGTCGATCCCATTTGAAATGACGTCACAGTGACGTCATAAGTGTAATTATAGATTTGCGACTCCCATATTCCTCACGATACATCAGATATATGGGACCGAATATAAAGGGTCGATTATTGGTCAGAAACTCGATGGAAGTATAGTTAGATGTTTTAGGATGACAGCAGGTGCTGTCTAGTTCATTTACAGTTGAGTTTCATGCTCAGCGTCATCAGAAACGGTCCATATCGGAAAACGACAAAACTTTATGACGTCACTGTGACGTCATCTTAGGTGCTACAACCACCAAACTTTCCTCAAACATTGCCTAGGTATTCATTTGAAGCTATGCCAAGTTTCACGTTCGTAGCTCATCTGGTTTCGGAGATATTTCACAAAACGTAAAGGGGGGGCAACTTTATGCCCCCCCCAGCGGCTCGTGGGTTAAGTCCTTATCGAAGCCCGGCACTCATTTGGTGATGCTCGTTTCATTTTTTTTCTCCTGAAATTGCCTAGCAACCAGCTGTTGACAGGTTTCTAGGCAACTAGAGAATATTTTGCAACGCAAATCCTGCTGCTGAACATAATGTGCGTCAGGTTTCGCGCAGTACGGCGATTTTGTTTACAAGAATCAAAGCCGTAGAAATGAATGAATGAGTGATATAAAATTTTGGCTGGATAATTTTTGAGGGGTATGCCTATTTGTGCTAGATGCTTCGGTTGCTGATGCAGTACGGAATTCTCGTATTATTGACGCTCCTGGAAGTGAGTGAACTTTCACTCACTGACGGTAACAGTCAAGTCCCAGGTGAGAGGCCTGGAGCTCGTTCACTTATAGTTTTTCAGATTCTGAGATCTTTGAGAGTAACAAAAAAAGATTTTTTTTACTTAATGTTTCTGAAACTTACACTGGAAGATTGCCAAGGCTTACCATGAGAATTTTGTGCCTAGTTTATCAAGCTTAATTGCGTGATAAACCAAAACCTCATGGCTCAGCATTTCAGTCAACTCACTGAGCTGATAGCTTCAGCTTCTGAGAGGAGTGGAGCCTCATTCTGTAGTCAACTGAATCACCACTGTACCTACTATGAAATGCCATTCCTGGCACTCAAGGAGTTTGCATGTCATCTAGCATCTGTTGGTTACTAACTAGTGTGTTTCCTTCTCAGGAGAGGAGTCACTGGGAGAAAACAACAGCATTGTGATCTGCCGCCATTGTGGACACGACCTCTTTGACCCTCAAGACATCTTCAGTTTTGAAAGTCCAGGGTCACTGCAAACAAAAAACAACACAGTAATAGGTGATTATTTTACTCCTTACATTTGGTCCAAATAGTCCAACAGTCAACACTTTGTACCTATGACTCCTGGCAGTAACCTTATGAGAATCAGTTCAAGTTTGGCTGACTTGTTAACAGCTTTGACATTTGAATATGAATAGGTAATCTAAATGATGAATAAGGTAGATGCCTGTTGCATAATGGTATGGTTGATACTTGATAGTTGTTACTGCTTGTACCTTCAAGATGTGCTAGTTATTTTATTCTTCTTTGCTATGCTTGTGATCAGGGTTAGGGTTTTTAGAAGTTAGGGTTTTTAGGCTATGTTCTATAAGTAGGCAATAATGAAAGGAATACTACCAATAATTACTTGAATCAGCTTATTTTCTTTGGTTAATCAGTAGGTTTTCATCTATCATGCAATTGCTGCCATTACAGGTTCTGTGCGATCGAATGTGCAGCTCCTGCAGAACCCTCACGGCTATCAGTTTGAGGTGGTGACGGTCCGGCACAGCATCTGCGCGCCCCAGGGCACGGTAAGCTAGCATTGCGTAGAGCACGATGTCAGTGCCGCAAATGTATGCTCTGAGCGCCTCCTGTTTCATGAAGCCGATGCTAAGTGCACCCAGGGGCCAGGGCACGGTAAATCTGCACTGTGCGAACTGAGAGCACCAGGGTACTGAGTCACTAATGCAGTGCCCTGCTCTGTCCCACCGCTCGGTTGGGAAGTATGGGTACCTTGCCCTGGGGTTGATAGTGTCCAGTGTCCTGAGGGATGATAATTTAATATTGTCCGACCTGTCATATCCGGGGAAGGCCAATTCGATATTGTTCGCTCTGCCTAGGACGCGGTTGACGGCAAGTCCATAATCTTTTCGGAACAGCCCTAGAGTCTTTGTAAGTCGCCACTCGCCACATTCGTATCATCATTTGTCATGTGCAAATACCGCATGTGTAAAAGCTAAACTGCGGGAAGCGAACGCAATATTCTCATATTGTAGCGTAATCACTGCTCTCTCTCTCTCCTTCCAGTGGCATTCATCTCACTCGTGGTTTCCGGGCTACAGTTGGAAGATTTGTCTCTGTCCCACGTGCCACACTCACATCGGCTGGTAAGCGTAACCACACGGTGATCTTCACATTTGCTATGGATTTGTAACACCTTAAAACTTGTTAGGTATTTGGACTCAATAAGTGTTGGATTGCCTGCTTGGTGCCGTGTATTTTAAATGTTTTATTGCAGAAGATGTTAGTTCGATTTAGATAGGCGGCGGAACGGGGAGGGCACCGGTGCACCGTGCCCCCTTTTATTTTGGCATTTTAACATCAGCCCTATGGGCGTTGCATGGAAAGAATGAGACCAAAAGTCGGCAGTGCCCCCCCCCCTTAATTGAAGGTGTTCCGCCGCTACTGAATTTTACCGATGTTTAGGGGGGGGGGGAAGTCTCCGCTTTACCACTGTTTTCGTTTGCTGTGCTTTTATATCGGTGTTCGTGCAAAACTATATTGTCTTTTACTTTCAGGATATTCAAGAAAGTTAAGCCTTCGGAGGAAGACACGACAAACAACTCGTTTTTCGGTCTCATTCTAGACAGGATTTTGGAGGAGTCATGTAAGCATCTTTCTATTTTTGTTATCGTAAATGTGGGCTATAGGGCTGTTGCACGTCAACTATCGTCCCGACGGTTGATTTTTTAGATAATCCTTTTAAACTGAATGGATACGGCTTATGATATAATTGATCACAGGTGATGTGTCGCTAAAGTTCATTTCCCGGTCGGTATCGTCACATTTGATAAGAGCTTAGGACAAGTAGTATTGAAATGGGATAAACAATGGGAACTATTTTGAATTATATTCTTTTGAATTGGCTACACATGTGTTAATAAAGAATATAATTCAAAATAGTTCCCGTTGTTTATCCCATTTCAAATCGTCACATTTCCCCGTAGGTTTTATATTGGGACTATCAAACCTCGATGCATTCCGTGTTTTTACTATCGTTGGGATGCCCACTAACTGGTGTTTTCATCTGTCACAGCCATCAGCCAGCTGCTGGTCACTCCCAAGTCGTACAGAGTGTAGCGCCGGTACGGGCCCAGCAGTCGACTGTGATTGGGCCCCGTCTCGGTCCGCTGCCCCACAATGTCGGACTCCAGTGGCGAGACGGCCCTGCAGCTGCCCACCGCCCCGACCGCGGCGCTCAGTGACGAGCAGCGCACTTTCCTGGACGAATGCGAGACAGAGTTCGCGTACCGTTTCTCTGACGACGACCGGGAGTTTGTGCGTCAGCGGCAGCAGGGTACGCCGGAGCCGCCCGTGATGGTGCCCTGGTTTAGCCGGCGGCCCTGGCAGGAGCGCGGAGGATGGAGGGGAGGTCGCGGTCGCGGCGGAGGCGGATTCAGGAACGACCGCGACCGCTCCGGCGGCGGCTACCACGACCGGGACAGGAGCTACGACCGCGACAGGTCCTCGGGAAGGGATGACCGGGACCGGTCGGGCGGTCGGGACTACAGGGACGACAGGGACAGAGAGCGGGGCTATGGGGACAGCCGGGACAGAGGCCGGGACGAGCGGCGGGACAGGGGTGATCGGCACGGCCAGTACCGGGACGGCGGCGGCGAGCGCAGGCCGTTCTATTAGAGGACGACAGTGGGGTGGACTATCGTTCACTGTCTGCTGAGAAGACAGACAGTTCAAGTGGGCTCTCGTTCGCTGTTTCACGTCCCTGGGACTTCTCTCCCAGGGCCATGTCTTAGGGCGGGGACAACGGAGGTTGTTGGTCTCAGTATCCGATTGTATATGCATTATGCAACGTGTGTGTCATGAGCGAGTTAATACATTCGATATGACTGTATACTGGCTCATTTCCGTTTCCGAGTGCGAGCCCGTTTTGAATCCGTTTCGAGCTGTCTTGAACGGCAGATCACAAATAAATACGCACTACCCGACTTCACTTGCCCTTTCATACCGAAGGCAGAAGCACAACACCAATGCATACCCAGCGTCTGACTCAGCGGCATGGTATTAGCAGCGGGGATGGAGACCGACTAAGCTCAACTGACAGCATACTGAACTGCTCGGCGCGGCGCTAACCACGATACTCAAAGTCTCCGTGAACGCCGAACGGCAGGCCGAGAATGCGCCTGTTGCGCCAGATAAACGCCAACACTCGCATCGTGGTCTTGTAGGCGTACCTCGCGCGTCTCTCCTTGTGTTTGTGAGTGTGCGCCTGCATCCTGTGAACTTTGTAGACGGGCAGCGACCGGCAGAGGGGGACCAGCCGGCCCTTGGTGGCCGCCATGGGACCCTGCAGGGAGACCATCTGCTCGTCGAGCGGCCTGGAGGCTGAGACGCTCTTGGTGGTGTTCTTCGGGTGCTCCTCCACCAGACAGACACCGGCGCCGTCCGCCGTCCGGCCGCGCAGGTACAGAGCGGCCTGTGGGTGGAGCGGGCGGGGAGGGGTCGGAGAGAGCACCGGGACGAAATAAAGATACCAGGCGTGGGTGCCGATGACCTCTGCAGGTCGGGACGCAAAACCGCCAAATCATCATCATAGCTACCAGACTGTCCAGACTCGCAGCAGATATTAACGTAACGCGTGGCAGTGGTGACCGCAATCAAAAGGTTGCTGTCCAAAACTACAAAAAAGTCGAACACAACCAACCACAACGAAAACATTGTGTACCAAACAGATCGTTAGGCGATGACATCCGACGTGCGTTCTCAGCGTAACACTGACCTTAGATGCGTTGAAGACTTCCGTCAGGGTGACTTGGTCCACCCGTACCCGGCTGCCAACCTTGTAGTGAAGCTGGCGGATCCAAACCTTGTGCTTGCTCTGACCGATCACAGCGTGTGTCTGGAAAAGCGAAAATGCAAGTGGTCGATATAACAGCGGTCAGCGAGATTGAAAAGTGACGTCTTCTCCAAGATCTTTGTTGGAGAGCCTGATTACAGTTATATGATATCAAACTTTGCCAGAATCATGTAAAGCTTCACGAACCAACGGACTGAACGACTGAAGCACATTTCGAAGAAGGCAAAACACAAGTCATACATAAATTTGCGCTTTGGCAATGAGGCGAGACGGTCATGAACAGATACGGGAAGAGGAGACCGAGCTATGCGAAATTTAGTTGACCAATGACCAGCGATTTGTCACGGTACCCAGGGGCGACCGCTGCTGATCCGTGACTCACGTAGTTGTGCGCCGGCTTTGAGTAGTTGTGCGGAGGAATGGAGATGGGTTTCTCCTCTGGCGGAGTGGGACGCGGCGCCATGAACGTGCTGTTGGTGTCGAGGCCCCTGGCGATGCGGATCTCCACGGCGGCTGCAGGCCGGCAGCACCAACACACCAGCAGCAGGAGCACCTGGTGACCGGCACGGCAGGTTCAGAGGGGCGTTCGACACTGCGCGCTCAGTCAGACGGTGCTCCGGTGACGTCTCCGGCCAAAGCAATTCTACATCAAATAATTTGCGTGAATTATGGACAGTTGGGTACATAGTGAAACTCTAAAGCCCTTTTGCGTAATCTTAACACAAGCAGTTATGCAAATTTCACGATAAAAGTTTTCACTCGACCATTCACCATCCGATCGTTAGTCATTCAACCACTAAACACAGCTTCACACTGGCCCACAAGACATGGCACTCACCGTCATGAGAGCGCGACCCATCTCCATCCTTCCCGCTGCTGCTGCAGCCAGCACTGAATGTCCCATCGCTCGGCACCGTCTTATCCATGGAGAGAGTGAAGGGGTGTCTGCCCTATCGGCTCATCGCCGCCGCCCGGCCACAGCGCCGGACGCTCACTTTTACACACGTTCTACCAAATCCTGAGACAAATGCGTGACAGAAAGAAGTACGAAACATTTCAGTGTAAACGCTCTATAACCGGGTTACCCTTAAGTTCACAAGACGGCAGCTGTCTTGCAGCCTTTAAATGGTATATGGCCACCTCCTACAAAATAATAGAGTTCACCATTGGTAAAACTGAAATGGTTCACGCCGCGTGATTCTTAAAAAGTGATTTTGATCATGGCACTCCTTTTTCTCACACAGGGTGCTGCAAACGATGATGATGTATTGGGCAGTGTTTCTGACGGTATTCAACACAAAACACAAAACTTCATACACCATCACATGTCTTTGACTTTCCTGAGCAACAGGCATCAATGTGGGACGAAACGGCAAAAGTTCATAGAACGAAACCCTTCAGCTGCATCAGGGCTACATAAGGCATCATCAGTGCACACTGCACACTGTACAAATCTGAACACATCAACTTTGAGCAAGATCGTTATTGGTTGCACCGTCCAGTGTCATTCCCAATCATGGCGGCAGCAGACAGTGTCAATACCCCCTCGCCGCACCATCAGACCTCTGGCTCCGTGCCTGCCGCTTTCCTCTTAGCCCACGCTCGAACACGCTCCACATTTCGCGAGCGCACAAACACCTGTTCGGTGTTGAAGGTGGTGCAGAGTCGTTTGTACAGTTCTGGCGCGGCCAGCATGGTGTTCATCCGCGAGGCTGTGTCCTTTACGGCGGCGGAGCCGTTCCGATCAGTGCGCGCTGGACAGTGGAGGTTAGATCGTGGAGTGGCCGCGCCTTCGGCAGTCCGAGGGCCGGGAGCACTGGCGCCTGCCGCGGTCGGGGCTCCGGCGGGCACGGGGGCCGCGCCGGCGGCGGTACGGCTGGAGGAGGCGACGGGCAGAGCGGGCGCCGCCGCTGAAGGTCCAGCGATGGCAGTGATGGTGGAGCTGGGAGACACCGGGCTCCTGGCTGGTGCGGCTACTTTGCGCGCTGCCTCCTCCATCCGTTCAGCCCGCTTCAGTTTTTTGGCGGCTGCCGACACGAATGTGCTAGTTAGTCGCAGTACAGCTTTATCGAAAAGCACCTATTTTAAAGGAGGGGGAGGGGGCTAAACGTTATTTAAAAAAGGTCTTATTGACGATCACTTCTGTTATATTCATACCAATGACCAAGTCGATTTACTTCTGGGCAACTATTCGTGTACTCGCACGATTAAAGTCTAAAATAGCACAATGTCAAAAAGCATACATTCTAATGCTTCAAAAATCTCAAAACTGGATTCAAGATGACGACAGTAGCGAATTCGACGACGGAGACGGTGGATGACAAAGGGAGACGGTGGGAGACGGTGGTGGATGCGTGAACGCCGTATGAGACGTATTTGAACGGTAGCATCACAAACCAGAATAAATTTAGATCGGCACTCGTTTTCGTTCACGTTTCCGAAAATATGACACCTAAAATTAGAAAATTTTGATGCATCCTTGCTCGCTTTGTATCATCATTCGCCTTGGCCGCAAAGTGTAGTATCTGTTCTTTTCGGGCTCATTTGGCATCTGATGAGTACAAACCGTGCAGAAGACGCCGATAGATGTTTCTTGAAGTGACCGACTGATTGAGCGTGTCTCTACGTTCAGCCCGACTGACTACTTCGAGCTGGCAAGCACCGGTAAGCCGGTAAATGTATTTTCACTAGTGAAAACTGAAAGTAGGTTGCCGATGCCGAGCTACGATCGGTATCGATTAGAGAGCCACAAGGCCCGCCGAGCGGAGACTCGTCTCCACTCTGTCCCGGCGCGACACGGCTGAATCTGCGTCCGGACGGATTAGGTCAAAATACAACAGCTGTTGGTCTACAAACGCCGTGCAAAGCGGCATACCATGACCAACGCACTGCTGTTATCGAGCCTTTCGTGCACACATTGTTATAATAAAAGGTCAGGTTTGTGGAAATCAAGCTATAAGAACATGAAATATTATTTAGCAAGAAAATGTATGCGAGATAGCAACTTAATTTTTACGACGATCAATATCTTTTTGCTCCAGCATTGAAAACTTTAGAATACTTTATAATCTTATAATTTGCGTTCAATAATAAAACAAAATCAAACTCCAAAGAGATATGTTTATGTAAATTACGATCGTCCGGCGGCCGCTGAGCGGCGCTGGTCCGCACAGTGCGCGCGCTATCAGCCGTGTCGGCGGGGGCGGCCGACTCACCTGCGCTGAGGCGCCGGCTGCGCGCGGCGCCGTCCCAGCCGGAGAGCAGAGCCCACGGGTCCGACCCGGCCACAGTCTGACGCAGAGCGGCGCGCTCCCAGGCCGGCAGCGCCGGACGACGGAACACGGCGCGGCCCGACGGCGAGCTAAACAAACCTGTCTCGGAGGGGGCCCCGGCGCGCCGGCGTGTACTAGGTGGCATCCTACAGACAAAGCCAGGGCGAGTTAATGCAGCGAGTCACAGCAGAGGGTGGACATTTGTGGGGTCAATTAGCTACTGAGAACTAATCAAGCCAAATTAATACAGTCTTCGCTATACAAGCGAAACTTCGACCTACGCGGTTTTTCGACAGCCGATCGCCGTGCGACACACCGCCGCTTTGCGTTTACATTCCGAACTCGTAATTTGCAATAGTCGACAATAAAAGCAATTCTACAAAGACTGAAAGATCTCAACTACAACGCGGCCAAAACATTGCTCCCCTGTCGACTTACGTTGGCTTTGGTTTCTCCACCCAGTTTTCCGGTCGCGTCTCCTTGTCGCCGAAGTTGGAGAGGCTCAGACCGGAGAGTGGGCGCGGCTCGGTCTGTCGGCCGTGCCTGGCCATCCTCCTGAGCGCGGCCGGGTCCGGCTCGCTGCGCGTCTCTGTCAGCAGCGAGCCGGCGGTAGACGGCGCTCGGCCGGGCGCGCTGACGGGCCGCCACCGGCCCGGCTCTGAGACCGCCGCCGACGGCACGGAGGAGAGCGCCACGGCAGCCAGCTCGCTGCTCAGCGAGCCGGCCTCGGAGGCGGCCGGCTCCCAGCTGGCCACGCTGCGGTCGCTGCCGTCCACGTCCACCCCCGAGTCGGACGGCTCGTTCAGCAGCACGTCCAGATCGTCCATGTAATCGACACCGCCTGTCCGGGAGAACAGAACGGCGGTCAGTCGTCTGCTAGCCCGTCTCATGTAATAACGACATATGTTTATGAGCATGGCTGGCAGCTTAACTAAAGCGTCAAAATATGACATTTACATTGATAATTACGTACCCATTGGCAAGTTGCCATTATTGATAGCATTATCAATTTCATTAAGCATTTTACAAACGATTTATATCAGGAGGTACATCAGCAACTTGGCAGTCCCGCTAAGTGACAAATTCTAGTCACGAGCAAACAGCTCCACTACAGCGGGGCACATTCAGACGATTCACTCACCGGCACCCGGTAGAGAGGAGAGTCCTCCCGGCAGGGGGACCTGTCCGTCGGCGCCGGCGTCCGTACACACCAGCCGCACCCACAAACACTGAAACACAGCCACAGGGTGACGTGAGTCCAGCAGCAGTCATCGTCGATAGCAGACAGGACAACCGGGAGCAAACATCATTGAGTCTTAGCTGCACCACGCAATACCTTCGATATCAGTTAGAAAGATCGCAAAAATGGTAAAATTAAGGTATCCAGAGAAAATACACCATGACTATTCAGCTTTAACTTTTCCTACCAAGTACCACAAACAGTCTAGATAATATATTAAATGAAATGTACCATGGAACAGTCACGGTTGTTACCAAGAAATACAGGCGTTTATGATCGTGATTTACGAACTAGCATACCTTTTGGTTGGGACACATATCCACAGACTCTGTGAAGTTTATTTTCAGTCTCTTCATTGGGTGCTGCTCTCCGCCCGGCACCGAGCAGCGAGGACACATCTGAAACAAATAGGAATCAGGATGTCAGCGCCAGGAACTGCAACACGCTCTGACAAGCAGTCCATTCTCTAATTCATCCATTCCATCTTCAATGGTCCATCTTGTATTCAATCTCCTGCTCAATTCATTTTAAAATGGCACATTTTTTAATTCATGTTAAAAAATTGCACATGAGCTTTATATGAATTACTACATCAATACCCTTCCTTTGGATATCTATCAAGGATGTTGTACACCTGGTTCCTATCAATCAAGTAACTGGTGACGCCGACGGGTGACCTCACCTGTCTTTCAGTGACATCCATGGTGAGGCAGAGCATCAGTTGCTGTGTATCAGCTTTCCTGAAACAGAAGTCCAGATATACATAATATAATATGCACACCAAAATCTCAGCCCACACCTGGCTGAAGGTCTCCGAATCAGTTAGCTTAAACATGAAGTTGGGAGAAGGGTTGTTATTAGCCATGATATTGGTTATTGGTTATTGGTTACTGGCCACCCCTGGGTATCTAGGAAACAGGGAAGGAAAACAAGTCATAAAAATAAATAGCTATAAATGAGTACTCTAATGTATGACTGGAATTTTTCTCCAGGTCAATACTAAGGTCACAGGAGACCAGATAGCAAAACATAGCAACACAGTCAAGCATTAGTCAATGAGCCTCAATGAGTCAGTTTGGGTAACAAATGCACACCAGCTCAGGCATCAGGGTTCTCCACAAGTCACTGTCGGACCATTTCTGATCAGAGAATCTGACCTCAGTGTTAATCACTGTTTTTGACCTGCAGCTTGCAAGCTTCATCTAGGTGGCTTGTGGTCTAAACATTGGGATTGTTGTGACTGTTTCTTTCTCTCTGTGTTGAACACAGAACACAGTGTGTTCTTCCTCCTAAATCCAGCTAAGATGATAATCTAGCATTCACTATATCAATGGCAATCATTCAGTAATAAACAAGGCTAAATTGCATACAGCTGCTGACAGCATGCAAGTGCTTATGCCCTACTGTTGATGATGATGCATTCCAGACCTAACTGCTTGCTGACAATCTAATCGAAATTGGTATGGTATCAATTATTTTTATCAAAGTGCATTTTACATACTGGAAAACTACAACCTCTTGTTCTGGGTGGTTTCATTAAGTCTGGAGGGTGTATGATGCACTAGTCGTGTTCCTGATGCCTGAAATCATACTTAATAACATTAGATGGTTGTGTACACAAGTTCAATTGTTGTAAAGTATGCATTACACAGTACACTTGTGTATATTGCTGAAATCAAAAACTAATATGATGGTCTGTGACCTAGAATGATACAGGCACTAGCAACAACTCAATACATAATGTCACAACTCACAACAATGGACTTCAAAACATTCAAGCACAAAAAGAAGTGTACAAAAAATTGAACATAGGTACATTAGAATCTCCCTAATAAATCAAGCCTACTGACATAGGGTTTAGGATTTATTAAGCTTTATTAGCCAGGTTAAGCATTTTCATCAAAAAGTCTCCTTTGCATCTGCACATTATGTTTCCCTTCCAAAAAAAAAAACAAGCAGATAACCAGTGCGCACTGCAGAATACTGCAAAGCTGTAACAGCAATCAAAGCAACATACACATCCACGATCACTCTCCAGTCATGTCTGCTATGCCAACAAAACACCTAAGCATGCCAGCAAGCTGCTTTGCCAGGAACATTTCTCTGAGGTGCATGGTGATCATGCTCTTGTCTTGATAGCCTGAACTCCCCTCCCTGTCTCCCTCTGTTGTGGAGAGTTCAGCTGCTGCTGTGTAGACTATAGTTCACTGGGAGCAGGTTAGATGCAACATTTTAATTGGAAAGGCATCAAATCACAGGCTGAGAAATTCACACCTTGTGCCTTCAAGCTGAGTGCTATATTTATCAAGTGGATTAATTAGCATGCACTTTTATAGAAAAATCTGAACAGCTCAAATGGCTTGACCTACCTTACAACCTACAAACCTACAGCGCCTCTCCTTGATTGGAAAACCTTCGTGTGACGTCTGCTCTACCAATGTCGAAACTATGACCAGAATCTAACAATGTGTGCATTTGGCATCCAGATAATCAGGGATAATTTTCCGGGATCACCAGGATCATTCGGTGTTTTAGGCTGAAAACATGCACAACGAACATGACAACAAGTTAAAGAGCCATTAGGGAAGCAAAAGCAGTCTAAAAATGGGACTAATTGCACCGACAGTCCCTGCAATATCAAATTATTACAGGTGATCCCGGATAATTATCCCTCATTCGGATGCCTAACACACGCTATATAAAATGTGTCCTGGTTGGTGGCAACAGTGCAACTGTTAAGTATGACCTATATAATTATTTAACGTTCATTCTTCAACTGTAACTACCCACCTTACGTGAACACTGAACAGTAGGTAGGTAGGTATATGAAAATAAATCAGTTGTTTGGGTTAAGGCGCGTAGCAGCTGGGTATATACAAACCTTAGTATATACTGTCTTGGCTTGGCTCTTGCGCCCAACAAAATAAATTACAAAATCACAAAAATCATAGCAGGCAATAGCCAATATGCAAAAACAACGTTTCAGAAAAAGAGGATCAGTCGGGCGCACTATGGTATCGGCAGTCCATTTATGGATACGTATCTATTAAAGGAAACGTTTCCAAATTTGGAAGGCACTTTGTTCCATTTATGGAAACGCCAGTTCCAAAATTAGAAACGCCAATTTTTAAGCAGGCATATTTCAGGCATATTTCTGTATTTCTTAAGTTAATAGTAATCTTTTCAGCTGGCGTGTCTTTTCGTCGATATGTTTTCTCCCAAAACAGTAAAATCCAACAATATTTTCGTACGCAAATGGCGAATCTGATGCCCTGACGCAAACCCTTGTCAACGTTCCATTTTTGGAAACGGAAGGTTCCAAAAATGGAAACTATGAGCCAACACAGGAAAAGGCGTAAGCACCATATTATTGATATGTGGGCCTGTCTACCCCACGCCCTCTTAAGTAATTGCCGAGTTATTGATGCCGATTGCCGGTACATGTTCAGATATGGGTGATTTCCCTTTGCATCTAAATTTCGTATGAATGGTCCTCCAATTGCTTGGGCATAGTGCCCGAAAGCCGATATTGGTACAATAATGCTTACGAAAATGTGTCTTCTGGGGAAAGTCCCCAATTTCTAGGCACCTTCATAAACCCCAGAACTGTCAAACCGTCTTGCCTACTAAGCTGCTACTGCTTACGAAACCCACATTATAACATATTTTAACTGTTGCAAGCATGCATGCGTGACTGCAGTAAGCGTCGCAATGTGCCCTGAATTGTGGTTAACAGACTCTGGCTTCCCAAGAAAAGCAAGGCTTTATAAGTAAGGTTGGAGTTAAACTTCGGCCTTATCAGGCCGGTTCAGAAGCTCCGGTTCGCATTTCATGCTGTCGGAGCATGCACCTTTTCCAACCTTCTCGTGGATTATTAGAAATGAGAAAGGCAGAAAGTGCTTCCAAAAACATTAAATGCAAATAAGAGTTGAAATACATATAACCTACTGCATCTGTGAGCTGTATGTACAACTTGAGTTAAAATTCGTCATTTGTTCCAAAAATGGAAACTGTGCTTCATAAAGCATTACTCAATGGGCCTTACACAGGCACTAACTGAAGGCCTACTGAACTAATACGGTGCAAAGTGGGCAATTAGTACAGTTTGAGCATTTCCCTATCCATAGAAATTGTTTATAACACCTTGTCATCGCTTTTTCATATAATTGAATCGTTTAAAACTGGACGACAGCTTGGATCGCTTCCGACAAGCAGTAACATATCAGACCTTTAATGCAATTATTTACATACATTCTACCAACTTTCACACATTCGTAAGTTAAATGGGTGCTAAGAAGTTCAGTTTGCCCACTTAGAAGCATCTGTACGAAATATTTTCCAACTTACCGCCTTCTAAAGCCGGAGAGACGATCTCCGCACGTGGTCACCAACACGCCATTCAGGGCTTGCTTTACAGCAATGTAGGATATTAATGAATACCAGACACCAAGTCTGTCAATTAAAAAATTGCCATTCTTGTGAAAATCAAATTTTTCCACAAAAAAAATGAGGTATATTTCATTAATGACACATTAAAGTTCACCTATCATGAAAAAATCTATTTTTTTTTTTTTTTTTTTTTTTTTTTTAGTGGCCCTAACTTACGTTACCGGCCTCGCGAGGAGGGCGGCGACCTAACTACGCCGCGCAAAACAAACCGGCCGTCCTAACTAAGACCGGTGGCCACTTTTACAGCAAGACAACATGGGAAAACCCATATCCATGTACTATGCCATGAATATGGGAAAAAACCCATGAATTTACGTTAAGACACATAAATGACAGTGAAACTTACCGGTAAATTGATGTTTGTGAAGGGAGGGAAGGAGGAAGTTTGTGAATGGTAAGGTTACGAGAGTTTGATGACAGGAATGGTTTGAAGAGTGGGGGATATGTCGCTGGGAGGGATGGGGTTTGTGAATGTTTAAGCGTCACGATGAAAGGAATGGTTTGGAGGATGGGGAATCTGTCGCTGCTGCAGTTGGCGGCCGACGGTTGTCTGTGGTCGTTCAACCCGGCCGCCGCCGCTGTTCAGCGGCCGGGGTCCGCTGGTGTAGCTCGCTGGGCCGCTGAGCCTCTAAGCCTGCTCCAGCGGCAGGAGAAAACCCGTCTGCCACCGAAGCTCTGTGTTTCGGCACCAGCGAAAAACCCGACCCATCCCGTATCACAAGTCAGCCTGGTGGTAGCGAAACGGGCGCCTGCTAACAGTCAAGGCCGTTAAAGTAGCTCTGAGTAGGGTGATGTTAGGACGAAATCAAGTACCAGGTTTGTCAATGTTGTGTCGTCCCCGAGAAGCGTCGGGAGGTCGTTTTTAAGGTGTTGTACCGCAAGATAGTTAGTGATGTGTCTTCGTTCGTGATGCAATGCCGTGCATGCGATCAAAATGTGCTCTACGGAGATGCGTGTGTCGCAGGTGTGGCAAATCGGAGGGCCCGTCCTATCAAAAAGGTGGCCATGGGTGAGGCGAGTATGACCACACCTCAATCTGGCCAGGGTCACCTCGCGTATCCTGTCTGGTTGGTTACATGTGACCCATGTTCTAAGTTCTCGTTTGATCGCATACATATGTGCAGCATGATGTTGGTCCCATTTGCGTTGAAGGTACTCGGCGAATTTGATTTTTATCATATGAATAGCGTCCCCTTGGGCCATAGGTTCCACAACTGGATCAGGTCGCATTGCAGCCTCCTTTGCGAGGACATCCGCACGTTCATTTCCTGCAATACCGTAATGACCTGGAACCCAAAGAAGGGTCACATGCTGGCCCTCATTGAGATCTGATGTGATCCTGAGAATATTGTAGATACCGTGGTGGGTAACATTATCGGTCCTTTCCAGTGCTTGAAGAGCGGATTTCGAATCAGTACAGATGGTTGCCCGATCAATCTTTTCTGCCTTGATGTGCTCCATAACTTTTTCGATTGCGTGAACTTCGGCACTAAAGACTGTCGTAAATTCTTGAAGCCGGGTCCCAAACCTAAGCCCAGGGCCGACGGCTGCTGAACCTATCTGATTTTCGTGACATGAGCCATCTGTGAAGAAAAAAGCAGAGTCGCAGTTGAGCTCTACATACTCCTGGAAGAGCATTTGAGCTTCCACCGGAGGTATACTGGTCTTCTTATAATCAAAAAGAAATTCAATGGATAGGTCTTTGAGGAGCCAAAATGGAATCATAGGAGGATTTAGAGTAACTTCAGTGCGCCTAATGTTTAGCAGTTGATGAGCTTGCTCAAGGCACCCGGGTAGAAAGCACGATCTACGCAGTGGGCGTCGGGTTCTTGGTTTCCTCGCCTCCATTGCTGGTACCGCAATGTGATTTCGAACACTTTTTGCTCTGTAGTAATAGCGGAGGAAAAGAAAGACGCGTCGGTCATCAAGTGCTGGAATGCCGGTATCTGCACGAAGCGCAAGAACTGGCGATGTGCGAAAAGCCCCAGTTAGAAGTCTCAAGCACGTTGATTGAACGGCTTCTAGACGTTTGCATAAACTGGGCGACAGTGTGCTAAACAGATAACAATTGTACTCAATCGTAGATCTGATTAGCCCAATATACAACATTTGCAATGTTTTCCTGTCCGCACCCCAAGAAAACCCACATATGCATCTTAGGACATTGATTCGTTGTTTACAAAAGGAAGTGGACCGTGCAAGCCTGTTCAACAGCCGATTTTTCTGTTCAACGTTGGAATTATGAAGCGAAATGCGGTCTTTTGATTGGTGGCCTTTGTTTGATGCGGAAATCTATGGTTTGTTGCGGAAACTACCGAACAGGTTTATGTGCTCCTTGCGTTTCCGAAAATAGAAACGGAGCGTTTCCATTATTGGAACAGTTGGTTTTTTGCGTTTCCATTTTTGGAACTTTCTTCCAAAAATAGAAACGTTTCTATAAATGGACTGCCGATACCATAGTGCGCCCGACTGGGATAGGCACACACGTTGAACGCGAAATGCCGGCTTTCAACAAAACGTTTATGTAGAAATATTTTTCTCTTTGATAATTTCTCGTAAAGACGTCATTTATTGAACACAAGAGTCAATGACTGGTGGAAAAAATGTTGATGACGTCATTTCTTTATCAATAAATTCTAAAAGAGTCATTCTTTCCTGATGCGCCAGATTTGCCTACAATATGGAAGTATATTCTCAAAAAACACTGCAAAATTCAAAGCAACAAGTATTTGAAGCAATAAGAGAGAAAATAAGCATTTGAACTATTTGATACGCAACTTATGAATAGCGGATTATCAATTTTAAATGTTTGAGGCACAAAATAGTCAGAAATGGGTAGTATTTTAGCTTCAAAATTATAGGTAGTAAAAGTAAAGCGCCTTCTCCAACTAAAGGAATTGAAAAAAATCCATGGATTCATTTTTGGCTTCGTTTAGTTTGAAAAAATAGAAATATTCATTAAATTCTTAACAAACGTTTTAAACTATTCAAGTTTCAAAAGAATGCAGTTAACCTAACGTTGTTTGAATCTATATAGGGCCTTGGGGTCATGCATAGGGTCATGCATATTGTGGATTTGTTCGAACAAGGACAAAAATGAATGAAAATGTTATGATTATTTCTCTATCGTTTGTATCTTAGGTGCTAACTGCCAAGATTACCTAACTGCCATGCACACAAATATTTCTGCACCACCATCAGTTTTCCTTCATTTTCCTTCATCAATATTCCCGCCAAAAGGAACAATAGCACTTCCGTCCTCCGCGCATCGTAAGCTTTGCTGTAAGTTACTAAAAATTAATCATCAAAATAGCAGTAATCTTTGCTAAAATACGAAGAAACATAACATTTTATATTGATTTTTATGCATTTTCAATGATAGTTCTGCCTAACCTGTAATTCAGGACGCCTTTCTTTTGAGGATGCGCGGTTTGGGACCGCCATCGCCTCCGCCATGTTCTCGTCGTTTGATTTCGCGCCATTTATTGTTTACAACGGAAGAAAGCGAGCGTCTCTTGGCCGCGGCGTCGGGTGTTCGTGATTATCGTCGAGGATTTGATGCTGACCGGCGTAGCACTTTTTATTTGCCATTTATTGATATAAAGAAACATTAGTAAACATTTTATTTGGTAAATATCTATTGGCCGAATGCCGTTTTACGAGAAGCTGAAGTTGAAGTAATCCTTGGAGCCGACTGTCACGCCGCGGCCGCGACGCCGACGCCGCCGTGGATCATCATTTTTCTTTCGGTTCGTCTTTTGAATTAATAGCTTTGTAGGTCAGTGTTTGATTTTCGCTCGAGATTATTGCCTGCTCACCAATCAATGCCTGTTAATTGATTGTGCTGAGACAGCTGGCTTTGGTCTGTTGTGGCGATATTGGCGCGATAATATCTAAATCGTTAATGTGTTGTTTGATTTCAAATTGATCTTCCTTCATGCATAATGTATAAGATTTTTTGATTGCATGTGATTTATGACACTTTCTTTGTCCAACAGGTCAAATTTGCATTTTGAAGTGCAGTATTAACTTTATGTGCGTAATGCAAATGGCATGGAAGGTCGAGAAATTGTCATGTTCTTCATAGTGCACCCAAAGCTATTTAGGTAGCATGAACTTGTAGTTTTCCAGTAAGATACCTACATTGCCTAGTGTTAGGTGTAGTATGGTGTGAGGTAGGTAGGTAGGTTTTGTCATGTAGGTGTGAAGGAGGTATTCTTAAATACTTACTTACCTGGTTCACTTACCTGGTTGGGTTCCAACAATGTCCAGTAGGATAGAGATAGGAGAGTCAGAAGAGGAATTTAAGAACCCCATACACAAGGGAGTGCCAGCCTTACAAAACTATACAGAAGACACCTATTATGGATAGTAGGCAGCTGGTTAGGTAATAGGTTAATAGGTTTTATTTTATTAAACGTGCTGCAAATGTTTGATTCACAGCAAATGGTAAACCAAAGCATCTAAAAATTGTAATGTAAAATCTGTAAGGTTGAAAAAAACAGTTAAAATTGACCTAAACTAACTTCATTAACCAGCAGGCATTTGTTCAGAAAAGGTCTGATCTACAATTGTGGCGCAGTTGATACAGAAATACAAAAACAAATTGTAGGTGGAAGGTTGTAGGTTTTTAGGTTTTAGGTTGTGTTAGGTTGTAGGTTTTAGGCTGTGGGCTAGTAGATAAGGTAAGGTCAGGTTTGTATATTTTTTTCTTGTGTTCCACATGTAGGTATCATATTTGGATTCAGGATATCAAAAGTTAAAATTACAAAACAAAATAACCAAAACTTATTATCTTCAGTGGTCTCACATAGCTTTGTGCATTTCAGACACCAGCTACTAAGCACCTTCATAATGTATATCACCTATAGAGGTACTTTACTGGAAGATGACATTGGGAGAAGTACCTACCTTACTGGAATATTTTCCATCAACCATAACTTTCTCAGTGTCCTTACTAGACATACTTTATAGCTAACCCCAGCCTTGCACACCTCACTTTAGCACCTCAGTTCCAGTGAAGTTAAGTTTTGTTTTTAGTTGTTGCTGCAAAGGTGCAAGTGGCACCAGGGGGCAGGGGCACACCAATAATAAACCAACTGGTATTACTTTCCAGATGTTTCAGAAATAACAAAATGATAGTGTCAAGTATCTTGAACATTTAACAGTTGAAGCACTGAAACTAAAATGTAACCTTATTTTATTATAGCTAGCAGTATTCTACTCAGCAGCAGTAAGTCAACTTAACCCAGTCTTGCTTGTGCCCTGCCCAACCTACTCACTGCAAAGCAAAAGATCAGGTTAGGTTAGTTGGTAAGACAAGGTTACTGGTTAGGTTAGGTTTAATTGAAGTGCTGTTGCATTTTATTTTCCAGTTAATATAACAATGTGGCATTATCAGAGAAATGCTGCATGGAATTATAAATATACCTACACAAAGGTATCAAATTACTTGAGATTTGCAATCTAGTAGCCTCTATAAACATATGGAAGCTCAACCATCATTTGCCTTACCAAGTCTTACCCAACCCAACCTAAACACACACCCACTAAACATCTGCAGATGCACTTTGAAGGAAGCTTGCTGACCATTAGTAAGGAATTGATTTTTGGTAGGTACCTACTACCAAAATTTTTTCTGCTTTTTATCTAAAGTCAAGTGAAATTGATCAAATATTAAGTGATGCAAATTAACACCTACCCACTGTCCACTGATTTTTTTTTTCATTTTAGCTTCAACATTCAATGGAATAGCAGTTTTCAAATCAATTTGAAATGACAAAATTGGCACTCTGGCAAGAGATAATGTAGTTAACAAAGTATTTTTAGCATTGCTTTGGAGAACAGCAGTTACCATGTTGCAGTTCCAATGCAGCTTTGTAAGTAAGATGATTTAAATGATGCATTGAACATTACAATTAATAATTGATTTTGCATTACCTATTTGGGGAAAAACATTCATCCATATTAAAGGGACCCTCCCACCTTAACATTAGATTTGAGTTGAGATAGCCAAATTGGTGGCCATGGCCTGAAAATACCGGTTTGGGCACTCACAACATCGAAAAATGCTTTAATTCGGAGATATCGAATTTCAAACTTGCAGTTTTCGGATTCTAAGGGGCTAATGCATTGGTATGCCCCCTTAGAATTTGTGACGTCAGCGGAGATCTAACGATTTTAAATCTTTTACTAAAACGTTTGGTAGCACGCGGTGGTATATGCTGCTTTGCGCGCAACAAATGCCGCACTTTCAAATAAAGTCACTAGGAACAGCGGAGATCCCAAAAAGTAAACAAAAGTAAAAGTCTAATATCTTGAAAATCGGTGAATATTTTTCGATGAAATTTGGTAGATATTCGTTTTTGCTCTCTCTGAACTGAGCGACATCACTTTCATGCCAATTCATTAACTTTTTTGAAGGTGGGAGGGTCCCTTTAAAATACCTATTTGCTTGTTTGGGATGCTTTGAGTTATTCCTGTCATTTTTTCATTCTCACCGAAATTAATGGTATTCAATCTAAACAAAATGCTATTTTTATCCATCGTAGTAGGTAATGAACATAATTCAGGTTTCAACCAACTCAAGGGGCTGGCAATGGGTACCACTTAATCCAGAATTGTTTCTCACTGTGTGTACTTTTATTTCAGCCCCCTGATGGCCAGCACATCTGGATTTGCGCCTGAGATAGCACATCATGATGAAGCCAAAGAAATGGACCTTGATTTCATTGATATTGAATTTGTTGATGAGCCATCAGATTTTGAGGATCACCAGTATACCATGACCCACTCCACGCCTGTTCATCAGCCACAGACATTCATCACAAATCCTAAGGTGGGTTCTTCAGAGTTATTTATTATGCAGCAGTATCATGTAGCATGTTGTGCTGGCTAGGTATGATAGATGTGCTGCTCAACTCGATGATCAGTTTCTCATAAGTTAAACTAAACTAAGGCTCCCATAATTTGCAATGTGCTTAAACAAGTTATGAACAACTCAGTTTGACCCTTGTTAGCTTGAGCTTGTGTTACTTGTCATGAAATGGTTAAATAGCATTCTCAATTGCTAAGGACAATGCATTTTTATTGCAGGCTGTAAAACGGAGGTTGAATCTAGACTTGCCCCAATCAGAGCATATATTTAAAACACCCAGCAAGACACCAAAGCACCGGGTGCGAACGTACTCTGAGGAGTATCCATCTCCAAGTCCATCAAAAGTTGGTGAGTGGGCATAGTTTATGATATGAATTTTACTTGTTCTCTCAATGCTGTCCTCACCATTATGGAATTAGGTAATCAATATAGCCTGATATAGGCATTGAAACTGAATTACCTGTAAGCAAATTTATTGCTATAACTTTGACAGGAGTGCGGCCAAGTTTGTGGGGTTTATTTTACCAACGTCTCACAAAATTGAACATGAATTGTTCAGGCTCTTGAACCGTGGTTCATCCATTGGCTGTTTCACTGAAAGTTTATTTGTGTGATGGTGTCCCCTTTCATTGTTATATGAACACGTGAGCGTGTTACTTTTGAAGACGGTTTGCCTCTTAGCGGCGAACGAAGTTACGGTAGGGTTTTGGGGCTTGTTCAGCGATTGAACGTCTCAGCTATTTATATGCTTTCCAGCGTGGCTTTCGAATTATAGTGCGACGCTAGTCAATCATTGGGGATTGAAATCGCCCCGCAGGGGGCTGACCGTGGTCAGAGCCGTTGCTTGGCCGGGACCATTGGGCTCTGGCCTCGCGGCGGCTGTGACTTCGGCCAGTAAGGGGAGTAGCGCCCCCTCGGCCCCAGCTTGACTTGCGTTCGACCTCGGCTCTGATTTGATTGTCGGATGGATTTTCTGCAAGATTGGCCCCGCAGGGGGCTGGCGGTGGCCTGGGTTCCTTGGGCCCGCGTCCTGCGGCGGCCCTGACCTCCGCCAGCAAGGGGAGTAGCGCCCCCTCGGCCCCAGCTTGACTCATGCTCGATTACAACCGGACTCGACCCTGGATTGATAGACGACAAGTCAGACCTTTCTTGGTTTCTTTTTTCCCTTTGTTTCTGATGAGTGTCTTTTTTGCGCCCGGTTCCGCTCCTTCCGGGTGTTTCTTCTCACTGCCAGCTTATACTGCTTTGCCGTCTTCTCACGTGGTTTGCACTAAGTTTTTGCACTTGTCTGTTGCCCAGCTTTCTTGCGAGCATTTTCATTGGTTGCCTTTTCTGCATTCTCACGCACCGCACGGGCACACTCGGGTGAAGTGGAATAGCGCCCCCCCCCCCCCCCTCAGCCCTAGATACACATATGTGTGATCTTGACTTTGCCCACATTTGCTGGATTTGATGTTTGCACAATGCCATTGCCAGTCGGCCGCGTTGCCGTCTTCTCACGCGAATTTCTCCTGGCTGGTTTGCACTCATTTGGTTGCCTACCTCATCGGTTTCGCACGCTTCCCAGTTTTTTTTAACACTTGCTCATCTTCTCTGTGCACGATTCCATTGCATAATGCGATTCCAGTCTCTAATCGTGCCATCTTCTCACGTGAATTGCTCTTGGTCGTCTTGTACCCGTTTGTTGCCCATATTTCTTTTGCGGTCACTGGCATTGGCTGCGTTTTCAGTCTTCTTACGCTGTACCGGTCTTGCAGGCTGCTTGCCTCACCGGTTCCGCACGCTTCCCCAGTTTTTTTTTACACTTGCTTATCTTCCTTGTGCACGATTCCATTGCCAGTTTGCTGCATTGCACTCTTTTCACGTGAATTGCTCTTGGTTGTTTTGTACCTGTCTGTTGCCTTTTTTGCGGATACTCGCGTTGATTGCCATATGTGTGATCTTGACTTTGCCCACATTTGCTGGATTTGATGTTTGCCCAATGCCATTGCCAGTCGGCCGCGTTGCCGTCTTCTCACCTGGCTGGTTTGCACTCATTTGGTTGCTTACCTCATCGGTTTCGCACGCTTCCCAGTTTTTTTTTTTAACACTTGCTCATCTTCTTTGTGCACGATTCCATTGCATAATGCGATTCCAGTCTCTAATCGTGCCATCTTCTCACGTGAATTGCTCTTGGTCGTCTTGTACCCGTTTGTTGCCCATATTTCTTTTGCGGTCACTGGCATTGGCTGCGTTTTCAGTCTTCTTGCGCTGTACCGGTCTTGCAGGCTGCTTGCCTCACCGGTTCCGCACGCTTCCCCAGTTTTTTTTTACACTTGCTTATCTTCCTTGTGCACGATTCCATTGCCAGTTTGCTGCATTGCACTCTTTTCACGTGAATTGCTCTTGGTTGTTTTGTACCTGTCTGTTGCCTTTTTTGCGGATACTCGCGTTGATTGCGTTTTCAGTTTTCCTACGCTGTACCGGTCTTGCAGGCTGCTTGCCTCATCGGTTTCGAACGCTCCCCCATTTGTTTTTTTTTTTTGCACTCGCTCATCTTCTTTGTTCTCTGGTTCCCCTGGTTTTATCGGTCTAGCCGTACCTTCGGCCCAAAGACCGGGGAGAGGATGTCTGGGCGTTGAGGGGGCTGCCCTGCGGGTTAGTCGGGGCAGCCTTCCAACACATGCCTTTGGCGCCAATCCCCGGATCTGCGGGATGCCCCATGTTGGCCTCGCATGAGGGAAATCGGCCGGTCAGGCGTCGCCCTGTGCGGCACTGGCTAATCGGGGTCAAGGGGGCTGGGCGACGGGTATGCGGGGGGTTGCCGCCGGGTGCAGGGGCCGCCTGATTCCTTCAGCGCGGGGCTTAGCGCCACCGTATCCATGTCCGCGCGCGGGATCAGGTCCGGTCCCGTGCCGCATGGCTCTGCGGCGGCCGCGGCTCACGCGGCCCCGTACCCGGCGGCTTCGTCTTGCTGCTTTTGGCGTCCCGGCCCCCGTATAGTCCTGCAGTACTCCTGGCGGACCACCACCCTACGGGGGAGTGTGGCCGTCCCCCAGTTGGGCTCCGAGGTGGGTGGGAGGCTGCGGGACCGAAACAATTACACTTTCCATGGATTCTCACTTGGCACCCCCACGGACCACAGCCTCGGCTGAACCCCTTGCACCTAGTGCAGTCGGTGGAGCACGACCAAAAGTTCTTATATTTACATCCGACGAACGAAAACTCGCGTCGCTGTCTCCCTTTCAGAGACGAGAGGGCTGTGACAGATTTGGTAAGATTGCGAGGTGTGAAAAACTTAGAGACGGAGGCATCGAAGTAGAGTTTGTTGACGATAGAGAGGCGGAAAGGGCCCTGAAAGCTACTCACTTCACATACACAGTTAAGGATCAGCAGGGCAGGAAGGAAGTAAACCTTTCGGTCAGCGTTTCGCCGCATCGCACGAAAAATTCCAGCCGAGGGGTCATTTTTTGCGACGATCTGGAGGGCATGCAAAACGACGAGATCGCCGAAGGCCTGTCACAGTTTGGGGTCTCCGCCGCCCGCCGCATCTACACCAAGAGAAGTGGCGCTCTCGCACCCACGCACAGTATCATTCTGACTTTCAACTCGCTGGAACTGCCGAGGGAGGTGATGATAGGATATCTGTCCGTGAAAGTTCGACCATATGTCCCGAGTCCCATGCGTTGTTTTCAGTGTCTTCGATTCGGTCACACTCGAGACAGCTGTCGGAACAGACCGGCATGCGGGAGATGTGCGGCAACTGATCACAGCAGTGCCGAGTGCTCGTCGTCTGAGTTGAGATGCGTCAATTGTGACGACTCTCAGACTCCACATTCCTCGTTTGATGGGCGATGCCCGGCCTTCCAGAGAGAAAAAGAAATAATGTCCCTGAAGGTCACCGAAAGGCTGTCATTTCGTCAGGCCCGAGACCGCTTTGCTGCCCTCCATCCCAAGCGGTCTTATGCTAGTGTGGCCAACGGTTCTAGACAGCGCTGCCCCACTGAAACTGATGCCAACAACAGCATCGGTCAGTTAATAGCGATTCTGAAGTCATTCGGCTTTTGTTTTGTCCCAGATGCCAACAGTCACAGCAACTCATCAGTTCAACAGAAGCCCTCTAAAGCGTCGTCGTGCACCGCCACACAGACGTCACCAAGCAGGAAGCAGGAGGAGGAGTGGACCCTCGCCCGGGGTCGTCGCCGGGGCCCGGTCTCGCCACCGCGTTCCGCTGAGCAGGCCCCGGGCACGTCTGCTGAAGTGCACCGACCCCCGCCGAGGGAGACTGCAGTGATGGCTGCGCTGCGCCGCGGTCAGGAGGAACGGTTAGAGCAGGACGCCAGACGGGAACGCCGGATTGCCCAGGCTCTTGAGGAGCGTCGAGTGTCTTCGGCCCATAGAGGCTCTGATGCCCCGGGGGCGGCCCCGTCGCCTCTGCTGGGACCTCCCCCTACTCCTCCGCCCCCTCCTCCACCTCCGCCTCCTCCACCTCCGCCCCCACCTCCCCCACCTCCCCCACCACCCCCTCCACTTCCTCCGTTCCCACCGCCCCCACTGCCCCCCTCACAGCGTCCCTCCGGTGCCCCTCCGGCGCCCTCCACGGGCGAGGTGTCGGGGTCTCGGCCTCCTCCGTGCACGCCACCTTCGGAACCGAGACCGGCGGGGCCGCCGCCCGCCCCAGGCCGCCCCACGAAGCGCACACTTCCGTGGGAGCTATCGCCGACAAACGACGGTAGCCCCCGCTCGCGGCTGAAGTTTCAACCGGGAGCTACCGGCCGTCCTAGGTCTGCCGATGGAAGGCTCCGCGAGGGCCGTCCAAAGGTGGTCTTTGGTGGTAGCCCGGGCCCCGGCGGCGAGGAGCGTTTTTAAGTCCTCGCCCTCTTTTAACACAAGCTAAAGTCTACAGTTTTAGACACCTTCCGCTTACCTAAGCGCTCAAAACTACAGCTATAGCACATTTTATCCTGCAGTGGAATTGTAGAGGTTTAAAACCAAACTTCCAGGACTTGCAATCGGTCATACGTGGGCGCAACCCCTTCATAATCTGTCTCCAGGAGACCAAGCTGGCGCCAACTATGACTTGCACCATCAGGGGCTATGCCGTCTTCCGCAGGGACCTGCATTCGGACACTATAGCACATGGTGGTGTCCTCATAGCAGTGCACCACAGTCTGCCAGTCACACCGCTCCTACTGAACTCTCCTCTGCAAGCAGTAGCTGTGAGAGTGCACCTATACCGCCGGGAAGTCACAGTCTGTTCGCTATACCTCCCTCCTGGTACAGCTTTCCCGGAGGCAGAACTGCGCCACCTTCTCTGTGAGCTCCCGGCACCAGTCCTTGTGGTGGGCGACTTCAACGCTCATAGCACGGTATGGGGATGTGATCACATCGGCCCACGTGGTCGTGCCTTAGAAAGTTTTATTTGCGATGAGTCGCTTTGTATTTTAAATACAGGGCAGCGAACCCATTTTACTCTGCCTTCCGGCCAAACATCGGCGCTTGACCTGAGTTTGGCAAGTCCGCTTCTAGCTCACCTCTTTACTTGGTCGGTACATGACGACCCACTCGGCAGTGACCACTTTCCGGTGTGGATTGCGTACCAGGATACCCCGACACTGGGGAAGCGCCCACAACGGTGGAACCTGCATAAAGCCGACTGGGCCGAGTTTTCCGTTTTGATGGAAACCTCGTTGTCCAGTGCCGACGGCTGTATTCCATCGGCGGAAGCTTTTACGTCTTTACTTTTAAGCTCCGCCGAAGCGTGCATCCCTAAGACATCAGGACAGCCCCACCGCACTCCCGTCCCTTGGTGGACGGAAGAGTGTAGGAACGCAATCCGAGCACGGAAACGCGCCTTCAAGCAGTTTAACCGAAACAGCACCATGGAGAACCTCATCGCTTTCAAAAAAGCGCGGGCTTTTGCACGACGCACAATCAAAGAGGCAAAGGTCAGATCATGGCGCACCTACGTTAATTCTTTAAACCGGTTTACTCCGACGAGCCAGGTGTGGTCACGCATAAAGCGCATCTCGGGACGGCTCAGCTCTTCTCCACTTCCGACTCTGAGGGTGAACAACTCTGATATAATACATCCTTTTGATGTCGCGGAGGCTATAGCTAGAACACTCTCAGAGCGCTGCCGGGGTGACGCTCCCTCGCAGCCCGCACTAGGGCGAGCCCGACCCCAGCTGGGCTTGGCGGATTTTTCCACTGACGAACATATAGAATATAACGAGCCTTTTACAATGACTGAACTGAAGCACGCCATATCCTCGCTTCGAAGTGTCGCCGAGGGCCCAGACGCCATTCACAACTCCATGTTGAAGCACCTTCCTTCTATCGCCCTGGAAACACTGTTAGCGATATTTAACTCGCTATGGGAGAGCGGTTTGTTTCCTGCAGCATGGCAAGAGGCCACGGTGATTCCCATTTTAAAGCCTGGCAAGTCGGGACTTGACCCACTTCACTACCGTCCTATCTCATTGACCTCTGCTCTTTGCAAGTTGATGGAGAAGATGGTGAATGCTCGCTTGAGTTGGTTTCTGGAACATAACGACATTTTTACGGACGCGCAGTGTGGTTTCAGGAAACACCGCAGTTCAGTTGACCATATCTTAGCTCTTGACACCGAAGTGAGGACCGCTTTTACCGAAAAGAAACACCTTGGGGCTATCTTTTTTGATATTGAGGCTGCTTACGACACAGTTTTACGGCAGATCATCTTGAGGAAGCTTCTCAGCTATGGTATCCGTGGCTGTATGGGCTTTTTCATTTGCAACTTTTTATCTTATCGCACCTTTCGTGTCAGGGTTGGAAACCACTTGTCCAGCTCCCACCTTCAGGAGAATGGCATTCCACAGGGAGGCGTCTTGAGTGTGGCACTTTTTGCTATCATGATTAATGACATTGGCGACAGACTCCCAACGGCTATAGGGAGATCCCTTTTTGTCGACGATTTGGCGGTATGGTTCTCCGCCTCAAGTGCGCGGCACACGTCACGACAACTTCAGCTTGCTGTGACGCGTTTAGAAAAGTGGAGCAAGGATAATGGCCTTAAGTTCTCAACTTCAAAGACTGTGGCTGTTCACTTTTGCCGCCGCCGCTGCCACGATCCTGATCTTGGAATCCGCCTCTACGGGCGAAATATCCCCACGCAGCCGGTTGCAAAGTTTCTTGGTGTTGTTTTGGACAGACGTCTGACGTACAATGAGCATTTTAAAACTCTTCGTGAGAGATGTTTTAAAACTCTGAATATTTTAAAATGTGTATCACGTACGTCGTATGGAGCTGACCGACGAACCTTGCTTTTACTTTACCGCTCTCTGGTACGTTCAAAGCTCGACTACGCAAGTTTCATTTATGACAGCGCCAGCGAGTCGCGTAAGAAAATGCTTGACACCATTCACCATGCCTCACTTCGCGTTGCTACGGGTGCTTTCCGTACTTCGCCAACAAGCAGCGTTCTGGCTGAGGCTCACGAGCCACCGTTATCTCTCCGTCGCCAGATGTTGGGCATGCGGTATGTTTTAAAACTTCGTCAATTTCCCTCGCACCCGGCATACCCGTATGTCTTCTCGCGAGAGATCAGTCGGTCTGACAGAGTGGCTGGTCGATCGACTTCCTTCGGTGGACGTATGCAAGCTCTCTTCTCAAAAGCAAACATTTCTCTTCGCGGCGTGAGGCGCACGTGGAGCGCGCCCTCGCCGCCCTGGAGAAATGCGTATCCACGAATCGATCTTTTACTGACAGACATCAGGAAGGACGATCAGCCGCCATGCACACTACGAGCACGGGCGCTGGAACACATTGCCTCATATGATGGTTTTACCTCGGTTTTTACAGACGGCTCGAAAACAGAACATGGTGTCGGCTGCGCTTTTGTGACTGGTCATGACACACGCACATTCTCTTTGCCGACTTCTGCCTCTGTTTTTTCTTCCGAGCTCGTTGCAATTGAGAAGGCTTTGTGTTTTATCGAGGTGTCTGACAGCTCCTGCTATCTGATCTTGTCAGACTCCCTCAGCAGCCTCTTATCTTTACGGAGTTTTAATCCAGACAACCCGATAGTACAAGACATTTTATCTCGTCTTACGTCGGTGGAACGAGCAGGTAAATTCATCCAGTTCTGCTGGATACCGAGCCATGTGGGCATAAGAGGCAACGAGCTTGCCGACGCGGCCGCAAGACGCGCGGCCGCGGCCCCCTGCCTCCGTCGTTTGCCTCTGCCGGCTCGCGATTTTTACCCAGCCGTTCGATCTTTTACGACGTTTAGCTGGCAGACAGAGTGGCGTCTCCATGGATCCGAGAAGCTACGAAAGGTGAAACCTACTCTGGAGCCCTGGCAGTCCTGCTTTCAAGGCAAAAGATACCATGAAGTGGTCCTCTGCAGACTACGGATAGGGCATACGTATGCAACGCATGGCTATCTCCTCCGTGGAGATGCTCAACCAACATGTAGCCATTGTGCCGTGCCGCTCACAGTCACTCACATTCTCTTAAGTTGCCCGCACCTCGAACCAAACCGGACACGCTGCCTCGGCCGCATAGCCCCAGGCACCACCATTCGCCACCTGCTGGGTGATGACTCACCCTGGGTTTTATCCGGCAGCATCTTTTCTTATATTCAATCCATCAGTTTTCCTGTGATATACTCGTTTTACTAGTATAACGTATCTCAAGTAGTTCTAGTCTTCTTCAGTTCGTCAGTTCTCTGTTGACATATCCGCTTTACCAGTACAGCGTTATGGGCGCAAAATGACCACCGCAGTCGACGCGCCCGTAAACCCCAATGAACGAACGAACGAACGAAAGGGATTGAAATCGCACAGCTGTGGAATAGAAGCGCCATACAGATTTGCCATCCGATCCTTTGAAAGAACAGTTGCAATCCTGTGACTTGCAAGACCAGTTTGAATATGCCATCAATTCTGTAACAAATTTATAAATCAAGTTGCAGTAGTGAATAAGTCTGACCTGTTTGTCGCAATAGTGATTCATTCCAATTACTTTTTGTCTTCCCGGTTGTCAGTGCATTTGTCCTGAGCTTCTTAGATTTGGTTTAATGATCTTAGATTCGCTTTGATGGTGTGACCAAACTACACTCAGTATGTTTTCAAACTTGTCTATTGACCGACTATCTGCGCCCTTGCTGAGCCATTGTCTAATAGCAGCGTTCTCTGCTGTTCAGTTCCAGCTCCCTGTTTCTCTCCGTCTTCAAAGTCGCGCTACGACACTTCCCTCGGCCTTCTCACCAAGAAGTTCTTCCAGATTCTGCGCAGCGCAGAGGACGGGGTGGTGGATCTCAACCATGCCACCATCGTCCTGCAAGTGCAGGTATGATTGACACTGTTTGGAAATAGTCGATACTCGTTGTGATTAATCCCAATGTAATCTATCGGCGGGTAGGGCGGGTGTGTGCATCTCATGAAGTTATCGAATCGAGACAAATCACGTAATGACGTCTATATATTTTATTCATCACTTACTTCCGCCGTACAGAAACGTCGCTTGTATGACATCACCAACGTGCTGGAGGGCATCGGTCTCATCGAGAAGGAGTCCAAGAACAAGATCCGCGTGACGGCCGCCTCTTCCGACCTGGACGAGCTGCGTGCGCCGGCGCCGGCCGCCGCGCTGCCGGACGACTCCCAGCTGCGCAGTCTGGAGCACGAGGAGCGCCGCCTCGACCGGCTCATCGAGCAGGCCGGCGTGCAGCTGCGCCAGCTCAACGACGACCGGCGCGAGGCGTACATCCGCTACCAGGACCTGCGCAGCATCCCCCAGTTCAAAAACGACACGGTGGTGGCCATCAAGGCGCCGCCGGAGACCAAGCTGCGCGTCCCCGACCCGGCCGAGGTGCGTGGCACAGCCGCCGCTCGCTAGGTTTCACCAGAATACTGACGTAGTTTTAACTTATAGACCGGCATCTGCTTTGTGGCTAGGGTGTGGTTCGCGTCATTTTGATTGGACTATATGCGGATATGCTTTCATAATCATTTGTTCTTGACGCCAACCCATCGTCGGTTGGCTACTTGGGTGTGTGCTTTTGTAGCGTTTGAAGCTATTTATCATTGTTTCCAGCACCTCGCCGGTTACTGTCTGTCGGGCTGTTTGACCGTCCGTCTGACCGTCCGCCTCTGTCCGCCGGCAGGAGGGCGTGTACCAGATCCACCTGCACTCGGAGACGGACGAGATCCAGCTGTTCCTGTGCCAGGACGAGTCGGCGTCCACCTCGCACGCCGACGACTCGATGATGCTGTCCACCAGCTTCTGCTCGCTGCCGGACCAGTCGCCGCTCAAGGCCGAGTACCCGCTGGTGGACGCCGACCGGCCGCCCTTCCTCGGTCAGTATCCACCCGCCGGCGCCGGACCTGTGACCCTGAGGAACCGCGAGGGTTCGGGGATGGTTGTTTGGTTGCGGGGAGGGTCGGCGCTAGGTCCGTAAAGGGTAGTGCGGATCATTTGACGTCATCTCGCGTTTTTTTTTGCCTTTTCACAATGCGATCAGTGTTGTGCTTTCTCATTTTCATCTTTACGCTGTCTGTTGACATTAGGAGAACGCGGCTGTTCGTTTTACGTTGCTATCTGTTGCACACATCTAGCCACACCGGTGTTGATCGTTTACCGCGGTTGATGCAGGTACTCGCCACCTCGGCCATTGGTCCGTTCTCCCTCACGGTTCTACCTTTGTGATGTGCTGCTCTGAGGTCATATCACAGAGGTAGTACTGTGTGGGCGGACGGACGGACACCGCCGGCCCCCGCGACGCCTCCTCGACCGGCGCGTGCCGCCTGAAACTCTCCTTGTGATCTGCTGTTACCAGACATATCACAGGATTTGTTTCACGCGGCCGGTGTCGGGACACAGCGAGACGCCTCAGTCTCCGGTGATAGGCTACCTCACGGTGATTGTGTTAAATAGATGGGTTGTGCGGTGGTTGTGTGGTTGTTTTAATTTTAGCCTCCGACAATCCGCTGTGTGCCAAGTGTGTCAAATAGATGTGGCTCCGTCGGAGAATTGTGTAGAGTCCGCCGGGGGCCCACCCGCCTGTCGTGACTGCTTCGCTGGATGTCGCGGTGCTGTGCGGTCTTGAGCCATAGCACCACGGGATTCAGCGAAGTAGTGACGAAATTGCTGCCGCGGGCCGCATGCTGTCATCGCTGAGCGCAAGATCTGGCGAGACGTCGAAGACTTACTATTGAATCTCGCGTTCTAGTGTTACTAAAGCTGCGACATATTTTCTGAGATTCATCGCTCTTATTGTTAGGCGACAACCATAACTTGTGGTTTTGAAATGTTTTTTCCCGTCGTCGCAATAACGGCCGTCTCATGGACTGCCGATAAGTGCGCTGTGCTAGTGTGTCTGCACCGCGGTTCCCAGTGACACCGCTCGCCGCTGACTCTTCCCTAACGTGTTTGCAGGCACGGGCGATTTGGAGCCGTCCATTTCGGGCGAGGCGTTCCTCCCGCTGGAGCCGCTGCCGTCAGAGTCCGACTACAGCTTCGGCCTGGACCTCTCCGAGGGCGCGTGCGAGCTGTTCGACTTTTCGTTTTGATGCCGCCCACCCCGCCGCGCTAGGGGCTGCTTCGGGAGGGAAGGGGCGCTCGCCCGGCAAGTTGCCGTGTGCCGCGGCTGCCTCTGCCGTTGCGTTTTTAAAGACTGGTCTCCCGGAGTGGGGGCCGCCCCGGTATCTCCGCCGGAGCCGCCTGTGGGCCGGCGCCCCGTCGCGACCGCGGCTTGCCAAGCTCCCCAGTCATTTTAGATCGATCGTGGTGTGTGTTTTAGCTGATGCCGCCGATGTCGCGCTGTTTGTGTGCGTGTGTGCGGGGACTGGGAAGTGACTGTATGAGTGGGCGCGATGGTGAGCATGTGACGCGGCGTGGTTTTGGGCGTCGGTGCGTTGTGTGGTGCCGTTTTGGTGCCGCGGTGCTCAGTGGTGCCACACCAGTGATTTGTGATCCGGTGGCATTATTCCGACGGTGCTCCCCTCGCGCGCGCGCGGACCGAACTGATATTGGGTCGGTTTTTAAGTTTGCGGGCGGCTCGCTGCTCGTACCGCGCCACCGCACAGTGTGGCCGAAGACCAGTTTAGCGCGAATTTAATCCCAGCGCCGCTCGGATCCACTGAAAATGGTTCTCTGGTTCCAAAACTGACGTTTACCCCTCACCGGACCTATTGGTTTTCAAAATACCCCCCCTTCGCCGGCCGAAGGGGGGGGGGGGTACGACCCCCGTCGCTGTTTCGCCCCTGATGAAGCTAGAGCCTCGCGGGAAAAAAAAACGAGCGTGTGTGCCGTTACGAGACGCAGCAACTGGTATCCGATTTTAAGATCTCAAGTTAACCTGTGACCTCCGAGTTCAGGTCAAGTGGCCCAAGGCACGGATTCGTTTTTTATTAATAACTTCGCGAAAAAATGCCGCAGAGTCGCAATTTTGGCATCATCGTGTTCGCCTCGCTCAGGTGCGTCGAATGGTATACTTTTTGTTCGGCTGAAGTCAACTTAAGGGGTTGACCTCGGGTCAAGGTCAGGTTAGAGCCCCCCAGATCACGAAGTTGGTCGAAGGAGGTCATGTTGCATATCATTCGATTCGGCAGGTCTTCCTGAGTCCATTGGTGGCTTTCCCGACTCGCTAGCTCAATTTAATCAGGAGTTATTGACGAAAAACTCTTATTATCCTAGTGACGTCATAAATGACGTCACGTAAGGCCAATAATGCAAAAGTGAAGCATCGAACCTTGCAGGGAGTGCATGAAATCACGATTCCGTGTGCTTGAGATAGTTAATTAGGCTGGAGCCTGTTCGGCCGCGCCGCCCCCCACCTTGGTCAGGTCACGCCGGGCGGCCGACTAGACATGTTCAAAGCTGAATTGACGGCAAATAGGCAAAAAGTGGCAGCTGAAACTTGCTCGCTTATGTTCAGAAATGTGCGGAGAGTTCAGCCATGCCCTATTCGTCATATCCATTTTTATCCATTTTGACATTTTCCAACTTCTTTATGAAATACTATTGTGAGAACGATACACATGCAGGGCTCCTGTTCTAACTCATTAAACTCAGAAACCATTCATTGAAAAGCTACCATGATAGCAGAAACAGCTTCATCATGAATTGTGCTATCCGGTGATATGCTATTTTCTCATATATCTTCTCGAAGCTTCCGTAAAATTTACATTGAAAACTGGACATATTTCTCAGTACCATAGCCCGATTTCAGGAACCGGAGCGTGGGTCTACATTCGGCAGGGATATAAGTCCTCAAATGATAAAGTGGCTTAAAAATAAGGTTCTATCCGATAACTTCGGACAATTTCCTACCCATTGATAGGTATAAATAACAGTTTATCGAAAGTCGGGTTTTTGATTAAATTCGCGCTAATCTGGTATTCGGCAAGACCGTGCACCGGCGACACATGGTTTTGTGGCCCGCAGTTTGTGCATGGAATCGTTTGGCTTCGCATGCTCCGTTGCATAGATCGTGCGCCATTGCCTCGGCCCGTTTGCAGTCACGCGCAAAGTGATCCTCATTAAGTTAACAAAACCTGAAGGGTACAAATTCAGTCCACTGCCGTCACAGAGGCGAGGCGGGTCGGTGTACGCGCCGCGTCTCCAGTATAGAGCACATCATGCCGGCGTCGGCAACGTGATAGATTAAAAACAACTGATGCACTGTTGTTACTGTTACCGAGGCGTGTCCCGGTGACTATTTGGGTCTGTATTTTTACATAGAGGTCTCGGCGTGGGCGTCGTGCTGGATGATTTCTAACGGGAGGTGAGCAGAATGAGGCCCTGAGCGGATTGGTGGTGTGCGTATTATGAGGCGAGGCTGTAGTGGATAGCATGTGATGATTTCGGCCACCGTTTTCCACCGACAGCCGTTTTAACCGGGATGTTTTCACTGATTTTTAGATCAATTTTTGTGCGAAGTTTTCTGTCTACTGTCGTGTTTTTCTTCAGATGTCCAAAAGTCTTCTTTGTTAGGCAAGCTTTAAGCTGATGTTTATATATTTATTTCCTGTTGTCAATGATTTGGAACCAGGCGTGATCAGCTGCTGGCCGGAGAGAGAGCATTGGTGAAATAAACGAGTAGCGTCAATCTTGTAGCGTTTTGTGGGATATCTGGAGGGGCGGACAAGTATGTCCATGCCGTTGTAACATCGCTTGTAAACCTGTTGCAAGACTGGGTGGGCCACCAGTTACATCAAGGAAGTAACAATGTTCACTGAGAAGTCCGAACTCCACTCCCTGGTGGATTACATGTGGAGTTGCGAGTGGGATTCAGCTTTTCGAATCGACCGACTTTATGACGTTTGACGATTTAGTCTGTGCAGAAACGAACATGCGTCACATCGGGCATGGCAATGCTGATGGCCGGTGTCTGCTACTGAAAAGTATCAATTTGGGAGCGTTTTGTTCGGGCCCGATACTTGTTAAACATGCTCACTGCTGCTCAGTGCTCACTGGTGCTGCTCAGTGATCAGTGCCCGGTGATTATTCTGGCGTCCATTGAGTGATGAACCGTCCGTCCTTCTTCGCGAACACCGTGGCCTGTGTCCGTGTGTGAGTGTGATGGAATGCATAGACCGCCGGCCACTAGCACTGGGAGGAGTCACGCTATCATCTGACCTCTGACTGGCCGAGCTGACCATGGTCGGGTCACGTGACCGGTGACAGGTCGGCGGGAGGCCACCGATCTGAGTCGGTTACTGGTCATACTGTCGACAGCTGGGCTGGCGGTAGCGTGTGGTATGGAGTGCGGTGCAGGGTGGGACGGTGGTCACGAGCGGGCGCTTCAGTCGCAGCCTGCGACCCCAGCGGATAACCGGCCAGCGTGCTACGTGTCGCGGGTCAGTGCTGACCTCTCCCGGCTGTGTGTGACCTCTGAGTGCCGATCGATTGATGACTCCGCGACTCATCACGACCCCGACCCCAGCACGGGGTCCGGCTCCGACGGTCGTCCTAGCAGCTCTCCGGCAGGTATCGGCGACCGTCCACAGCCAGGATCGCCCTCTCCCACTCGACGAGATTTATTGTGGTCCGGGGGCCGGACGGTCATCTACCAGCGACGGGACGGCGACTGGCGGCGCTCACTACCGTCCGACCTGACCCAGGTCGCGCGCCACGTGACCTCTGCCACCTGGAGCGGCGGCTGGTGCGCCGAGATGCCGCCCGGCTGGCTCCGTCTGCCTCCAGTGGGACCGCCCGCCCCGGACCGAGCGCTCTCCTGGCCGCCGACCGGGTCAGACAGCACACTGCCGCTGCCTCTGGGGCTGACGGAGGGCGGGAGGACCGGACTGGCCCTCACCATCTCTGTCCGCCGGGGCTCTGAGGGCGCGGGATCGGAGCTGAACCCTCGGTGGATCATTGACATCGCCCAGGAGCCGTCTGTCTCTGGGACACCGTCGCTGCTGCGAGGACACAGCGTAGACAGTTCCTACTGAGGCCAATCTGAGGCTCCGCTTCGGCCGCTAGGTGGCGTCGACGGCAGTTTCGGGTCTCGTCAGCACAGTTTACAACCGTCGCCGCCAGGCTGCGCTAGTGTCGACACTACGTGCCGCTGACGACGTGAATCAACGTTGGCTCAGGCTCATTTTAAAGCGGCTCATTTTAGATTTGTAGTTTTCTTACGTTTCATGTCTGTTCTAAGTTCTAAATGGTTCTGTTTCTCGAATCGCTAAAAATGCGACACGTATTTTAGATCTCATTGAATTATGTTTCATGTTTGAATGCTGTTTGCCCTGCTATCCGTTGACCTTTGACCTGGGACTGAAAATGAATTGACCCACCTCTCGTAAGTCTTTGTCTGTTCTACGGCAGGATTTGACTCAAGCTATCTCTCCTTGGCAGTAGATGTAGGTATGCGTTGAAAATGTCCGCTCTGGATTTTAACGAACGCGACCTTTCATCACGGGGTGGACGTGACACCGGTAATTCGGGTCGTGTCACTAAACGATGGAAGCGTTTGAAAAGGGGACACGATGAGGCTTAGATATCTTCGCATTTCGCAATGCCATCAATAACTGAAGATTGTTAACATGCAGTGACCAATTAACCCACCTTGATTGACCCGCGCCGGGCGGTGTTCTCGGCCAGTCTCGCAGTGTTGGGCGAGGGCCGAGGGGGCGTGTTGGGCCAAGCCCGATTATTGAGCTAAAAAGATATGAAATGCAATCGATTCCTTTCGCTATGGCCAACGCTGGGGTCACAGGAGGTTATAAAAAAAATAAAAACGTCAAATCTTCCCGATTGACATTTTTCACAAATCGCATAAACTCGCGAACCAAAAGAGCCACGGTGTCGAGGAAAATGCATTCGATTGCTCTTTCAAAGCTCTTTTGATAACATGTCCTCAGATTGTCAACGATTTATATTCGCTCCTGGGACGGCGAAGACCTCCAAGACCAAAATAGACGGATTTTGCTGAAATACTCAGTACTATTCACGCATGGACTAGGTACTTATTTAATGTATGACATTTGTACCAACATCGTGTTTATTTTTGTTTTTTTACTTTTGATGAAACCCGTCAAATGAACTTTGAATTGACCTTTGTCAACTTAGAAATTTAAGGCCAACTCCGAAGGCTATGATCTGACCGACAACGGCATGCTGCACACCAAACGATCCGTATTGTTGAGCTAAGTACATTTCTGGTGTTGTAATCGCTTTACCGTGTCTCCATCAAAAGTTATTGTCGAAAACTGCTGGTGACCTTTCGTGACCTGACATGACCTGATGAATGACCGCAGGCCATTGTGCTGTATCCCATGTCTATCGCACATGAGCGGATATGTTATGATTATGAAAGCATCGTAAGCAGTGTTATTGCTTTTAGTGTTCCAATTGAAATAGCTTCGACTTAAAGTAGTTAACGATATAACGAGGGAATAACTACCACTATAGAGTCATAGACATCACTTAGTTTACTCACAATATAAATTAAACTCGGCCCGCCTGTTCCGTACGAGCGCGCCCTTTGCTGTTTTGTATCTGCCTGCCGGTCTCGTACTGTGTATTTTGATAGTGTGTGCAAGCAGATCAGGCTGGCGTGGACTAAAATAGTCCGAGTCACATGCTCAGACCAGTCTCAGTTCGGAACAGTAGGTTTATTGTGCTATGTCGTGCCATGTGGCATCACCTGGCATGTGCCGTGAGAAATGGTATGATATGTTCTTAGCCTTCTGGAGAGGAAGATTCTTATATAAAGGAGCGATTTATGTTTCGACTTTGAAGGAAATTTCATTCTCTGCATGCGCTTTTGGCGTCGACAAATCATTTCCGACATTCATTTGCCAGTATCACAGTAACGGTACCTACTACAGCGCCCCGTGGCGAGAGAAAACCTTATTAACCCCACATCCCCCCCCCCCCACCCATTGCTCTTTTGCCTTCAGTTTCTGCGCTCTCCAATCAGTGCCGTCGTTTCGGGCACATCTAATCATACATTTGTTAACATTAATTACGCCCCGGGTCATCGAAGTTCGGGTCACCAGGTCACGTCAAGTGACCTTACCTCACGAACAGATAAATGTTCAACTCTTGGTTTTTATTTTGGCTGAACGACCGCACTGAAATTTTTATCAAATGATATGGATTTTTAATCCAACGATCTAGAACAATTTATGAGGATGAGCAGTGAGCACTGGGCATTGGGCGGTATCCCTATTACCTACCGGTGGGCGGCTTTCCCCTTATTTTCTCCTAAGAGGAGATGCTTTAAAACGTCTCTCTCCGAAAAAGTCACTTGCTCCAAGGAATGCGGGCGACAAGAATGTGGCTCCATTTCCAAGACTGGCTCCGAGGAGCGTGGAGCGGACAACGTAAGCTAAAAGATAGCAGATAAACAACTTTGCAAAACAATATTAGTGCAAAGGATCTAAATAACAATATTTTATTGCTGAGTGCTGTACTAGCTCGCCTGCTTTACGTCACAGTGACAATGGTATGAGTCACTGGCCCATCCTACAGACCCTTCAGCTGGAGATGGAACAAGGTAGGGGCCTATTGTGCCTAATCGCTATCGGCATGTCTCCTCGATCTGGCCCTACACCCACTCTAGTCGCGCGTTATGGCTTCTCAGCGGCGCCTGTTTACACGCACATTCTATGCGTAGGAAGATCAAAGGCATGTTCTTCATTCACAGAGAGGGACGAATTTTAAACGTTCCCACCGGAACACGCACGGACAGGACGGCACGCCGGTGTGACGTTTTGATGACGTCACCGATTCTCAGAGGGGCGTGTCATTGTTTGTTTTTCGTCAGTCGGCGGCGGTCGGCGCGGCGCCCGCGACACCTCCGAGGCCGCCCAACAATCGGCGAACAAACGCTGACTGCACACTTTATCGCTGGGGCGGCGCGCCGCAGACCGCTGCTGAGAGGGTCAGAGTTACCGCACTGCCGGGTTCCTGGGGATGTGCTAATAGTCCAGTCTCGTGCAGACGCCACCCGGCCTTCTCCCTCCCTCTACGTCATTGTCTCGGAATGGGACGGCGGAAGTGAGCGCGGGTCGCGTCGCGGAGGTGATCGCATCCCCGAGAACCATGACACGCGTCCAACGGTGAGCTCGCAATCACAGGCTGCGGGCCAGGTATGGGACGATGGAACTATGGCCCAATCTTACCAATGGCCGTGGATGTGCATTCACGGCATTTGGACTTTGGTAGCATTCAAAATTATTGAACATTCATTCATTCATTCAGGCATGAGGCAACATTCATGAACATTCACGCCATTAAACACATTCGGCGAGATAAGCCCGACGTAAATAAAAGAACACATTTTATATCATTGCCGGTAACTTCGGCCAGTGCTGCCAAATCCGCTCACAGCATTGGTAAGATTGGGCCTTGCTTATCTAGTATGAATTTTCATTGCTACTTTTTAGATTATAAGAAGATGTTCGCTTGTTTACCTACTTGTCAGACCTCTGAATTACGGAACGAAGCGGCTGCACGCTCGAATTATAAATCACGGAGGATTACGCCGACAGGCCAGGCTCACCAATTGCGGCCCTGATCCAGATCAGTCTACGGAGGCTCGAATATTCACTGCCTAGCAGTACCTACAGGTACTGTAGGTACTGTACAGTGTACCTA